TCACCGGTGCCCCAGGCACCAGATCACTAAATCATCCATAGGCCAACCTAAATAGAGATCGTCGTCTGACATATTCCGTTTTCGCTATTTTCGAAAGCATCTTCCCTGGGATTTGAACCTTGGGGAATATACCATTACCATTTGGAGAGGGTGACGACTAGACCACTTCACTAAGGCGCCACACCTCTATTAATGTTTATAATTAATTTTAATTTAAGATAATAATAAATAATTTTATAATAGCAAACTGTAAAAGCTACGGTCAAAGCTTTAATACAGTATAATATATATCCTACGAAACAAGAATTAAAGAAGTCATTTTCTGAAACTTGTTTCCGAATTCATAATCATTTCTAGCATTGATTATCTTCACCTCAAATTTTAAAAATTTATAATTGCTTCGGTAAATTTATCCTAATTGCGTTTTTGAAAAATAATACAATTTGTCAAAATCTATTCTTACGAACTGTACATATACGTATATATCTTTACCAATTTAATTATTTCAATCGATTATTAACTATTGAACATTTCAACAAATAGTGATATATGTAGAAATAGAATTTAGGTTGATTTGGAATTATTATAATTAGGGTGAAAGTTAGATTTTAGGCGTAATTATTCTATTTCAATCTAAGTGAATTTTTAGTTCCCTTACTACTTACAATAGTGATAATTCTTACTTTGCATATGTTTTCTTAATATTTTTACTAAAAAAGAACTTTTTATCGAATGTTCATTTATTTATTTTTTACACACTTTATATTAAAAATTTGTGGTTTATTGAAAAAAAATGCAAAACCCAAATTAGATACTTTAATAAAGATAATATTGAAAATAAAAATAAAAAATGATAAGTTTTGTACACCAATCTGAACATCAATTAAATTTAATTATTTCATGAAACAACAAAAAGATATGAACGTAATAACTATAGCAGCAGAAAAAGAAGATACTGCAAGAATTCGTGTTAAAACACTACCACTAATAATTTCAATTATTGCAAATAAATGGAAGGATAACGTAAACAAAAATAGAAAAATCATTAAAATTTTAGCAATTGTATTCTCATCATCTGTCGTGTTCATAATTAAGAATGAAATAAAAAGCAGACAAACAGTAGCAGAAGATGAAGCCGTAATAATTCTTACTAGATCATTAACTCTAATAAATATAAATATTAAAGTTGCTGTGGATGACAATATAATAAACGTAATCCAACTTAAACCACAGCATTCACCTGTTCCAATAAATTTAAATAAATTCTTCAATGCTAGCACGGTAAATTCAAATATTTTCCCAAACAACGATACGATAAACCAAAATATTTTCTTACATATTAACACAATAAATGCAAATGTTCTCACAATAAACCTTATAATAAATTTTATAAATTTAAATATTCTATTAAGCATTATTCTAAATGAGAATTCTTTATAAATGATTTGAAATACTTCATATTCTTCTATTTCAAAAGTGTCTTTGTCAATAATTCCACATTCGTAAGAGTGCTGTTTGCTTTTACCAGTAACAGATCTTTGTGAACGATTATGTTCTATCCACAAATCTTGATAACCAAAACATGGTCCTCTGGCCATACACCAAGTGATTGCTTCTTTTTTAGAAGAGACACGACTTAATCTAGGAATTGCTCCATTTGATAATGAAAATAGGGAAAATATAAAACTTTTTGATGTTGTTTTGAATTTATATTTATTATAATCACCAAATATATCATTATTTTTTTTCATTAAATTATCTTCATACCAATCTAACGGATTATATCCACCAATTATTTCCTTTGAATTTCGGATTTTAATTATGACAACTGTTGGACCCTTATGATCACAACTCTTATGAAATTTACCAACACTAAAATTTTCAAGGCTTGCACGGTAAATAAGCTCAAATTCGAAAGGCATATTTTTAAAATGATAAGGCATTCCTTGTTTCTTATCAATCCAACTTGCTATTAATGCTGCATCTTTAGCATCAATAATATTAGAATTAAATGGATAAGCTGATACTCTTTTTGGTAAAGTATCCCGTTTTTTAGGATCTGATAAATATTGGTATGTTTCATCAAGAAGGTTATTTGGTAGAATATTTTTATATTGAGTTTCAACTAAACGAAATTCACTAAATGATAATTCATAAAATCTAATATGAGGAATACAATTATGTAGAACTTTCTCAAGCTCATCAAAATTTGTTTGCGTCCATTTAGTTAAATCATTATCTAAAATAGATTCGGTATTTTCGATTCCCCATTTAATTAAATAATTCCAAATTTCAATCTCTTGTAGCCTAAGATCATCACATTTCAAAAGTCTAATTAGATCATCTTCCTTCATTTCTAAGAAATCATTTGATTCAAAGATAACTTTTGGATTTTTGCATACAAGTTCTAATGCAGTTTGATATAAATTAGTGAAAGTATCATGTCTACATATTGTAATAAAATCATTGGGGAATTTCCAAGCTGATTCAGTTTCAAGCAAGCTTTTTTCAACTTGTTGATTAATTTCAAATAATTGAATTTCATCAGCTGCAATAAAAATTTCGAGAAAGCTAACTTCATTTTTATGAGAAAATGTTCCTGTATAAATATAACTATCCATTTATAAAAAAATAAATAAACATTTCAATTTAGTATCATAAAAATTAACTTGAAATTTATTTATATATAAAGGACATTCATTGTGTAGAAATCATTTCAAAACAGTTTATAAACAATTGAATTGACATGTATTTTAAAAATATAAACTTACTTTATAAGAATTTCAAAGACTGCTGGTGAAATATTAGGCTTATCAAAAATGATGATTCCATTTTCTCTCCTTGCCCATCGTGATGACAATGCAGCTTTAAAGTAAAATGATCTTGCTGATAGGATAATAGAATGAGCCCTAAATTCTTTAATATCTGGTTCTTCACCGACTCTAATTTTTACATCAAAATCTTCAGAGTTTTCAAGTAAGTTTGAAAAGTCTTTAACTAAATTTTGAATAGGTTCATTATTCATATTTGCGAATAAAAAGATGAATGCAAGCTTATCTTTTTATAAAATTTCAATCCAATTATTTTGTTTAAATTTCATTTAAAAGCCCTTATAGTATACAGTGTTTAAATGACTACCTTATATTATTATTGTAACGGTACTATTACCTTTTTTATTTCTTTTGGAATTCTTTTGTGTGTTTAGAAATGCAGTATGTAGTACGTATTACGTTCTATGCCGCAGCTATGACACAAACAAACGACGTTTGTCATACGACGGTACATACATATATATTCTTGGCGTATTACAGTGCTACCTCGATTACATTAATATAAAATTGTAAAAGAAACCTGCTTATCTAATATAGGATGTTCTCACTCAATAAACCGGAGGTAACTTTTTAATTAGTCGGAAAATAAATAAATTAACTAAGTGAATTACCGTCTCGATGAACAAATCAGCGAGATATAAACCACCTTTTTTCTTCAAAAATTTTACCATCGATAAAGATCGCTCAAGCATTACTTTTACATTTTTGTATTTTTTTTTTTTTGCATATCAAAAACATTTATAAACAATGAATTTCAACAAATTTCTAACCGGTCTAAAAAATATCCACTTTATTTTTAATGTTCGAAGCTTTGTAACAAATAATCGATACCTTGATACGAATGTAATAGATACGATCCATCTAATAAAGCTATAATGAATACTGCTATTCTGTTTTTCGCTCCATATTTAATGGGATAATTTAAGGTTTATAACTTTTCGAAACCATTTTCGTATTACCTATACTACTTTCAGTGCAAATTTTTTAAATATACTGTATTATTAACGAAAAAAGTTTACTTCTTGTTGCCGTAAAGCAACTTTCGTTAACGGCTCCATAAATTGATTCCGTTGTTGCAAACAAAAAATTTAAATCGGTAAATCATTATAAGGAGAAGCCGGCGCAACTGAAGCTTCGGCAGCTCCTTGAATAGGAAAAAGTTTTATTGGGTTTTAGAAGGCATATCGAAGATTATGAGAAATATTAAGAGTAACTCAAGCATTTAATAATTCTATAAATTCTATAAATGCCGTTATCGTGCAAACCAGTTAGCCAATAATGACTTGTAAATCATGATCATAATTGTACATCGATATTGGATCATGCGATGATAAATGAGAGAAATAGTGGTGGCGCAAAAATTTGGCGGTCCCGTGACTAATTCAATAACAATGATATCCTAATTTTCGTCTAAAAATTAATGTTTGCATTAATTCAAAGTAGAAAGAATATTTCTAAACTTTTGTGCTGAAAACTTTTACATAATAACAAAGACCAATTTCCCTTGCGGATTTTATGAGTTTTTTGCGATTACTGGTTTTTTTTTCGGCTTTATTTTTTTACTTCGCACTTGTATGTTACACACTGATCTTACAATCGGATTGAATAAAAATCACGAGACCGCCAAATTTTTGCACATCACTATTTCACTCATGATAAATTTCATGATATATACTGTATTAACCGTTGCATAATAATAACCAATATTTATAAGTTAATGTTTAGGCAAAAATTAGAATACTGTATCATCGAATGTTGGATTAGCCACAGGGCTGCCTATCAGCTATCATGACTATGGTACGTGCGTACGTACCTCCAGGGCGGCCCTCAAATATTTACCAATTTTCCACACTTTATATTGGTTGGAATTATTTACATATCACTGTCTTTTACAATAAATGTGAGGTCAGTACACGAAAGGTGATTTTTAAGAAATTTCGAGATTAATGTGATTTTTCAAAAAGTTACTGTTTTATAAATTTTGCCTCACACTAGTTAGTGACTGGACTCGTCAATTCGTGACTCGAACAATGATTTCGAATCATAAATTTTTTAATTATTAATGAATAATGAAGTTTAAAATAACTAATACAGTCAGAGAATATACCAAATTAGAGCAAATTAGAAAATCTGGTTCTAGAATGATCTGCACAGATTTGATTGGCTTTTGTATGACTTCTTGCCAGCAGTTTTAGAAAATTTTTTACATATTTTATTTATTGCTTAAAACTCCTAAATAAAAGCATTAATAGATGGTAGAAAACATGTAGTTTAAATAATCCACTCTAGTTAACTTTTATTAAAAAGTAAATAAACCATTAAAAAAGTAAATAAGATTTGGAATATTCTAGTTTGCATAAAAACAAAATTTTTTTTATTCAGTTGATTTGATTGGTTAGTGATCATTCTTGGATTGACATAAAGAAATTTCTGGAATCATTAGATCAGTGTTCTATTACCATAAATGGTGTGATCAGCACTGTACATTTATAGTATATTCTCTGACTGTAATACTTTGCATTATAAATTTTGTAATAAGTAATTCAGTCAAATTATTCGAACACTCTTCTGAGTTTAATTTATGAATCATGAGTTTAGTCCCTAGCTTGTACTACATAATTGAAATTGTTTATATAATTTTCTGCAGAAATTTAATTTTTTTCATTCTATAGTAGAATTAGCCTAGAAATATTTTTTAATTTATGAGCAAAATTACAGGAGTGGATCAATTTTAATTTCATTCCTGTTATTTTTAATTAATTACTAGTTTTTGTGAATCCCCTGGATGTTTTATAGAATAGATGGGCAATATAAGAAATAGGCTTCATTAATAATTAGTAATTATTAATAGATACTTAGCAGAGTTGTGAAGTTTGCAAAGTTTACCCACTTATTCTATAAAACATCCATTCTTTTTTTTTTTCTCTTGTTCATGTTTAAAAATTCACTGGTTGGCAATTCCCTTTTTAGAAGTTTGTATTACTAGCACACAAAATAAATAAAGCCATTTTTTTAAGGGTAGGGTAAACATAGATCATTTCTTATATAAGTAGATCAACCAAAAAAATATTACACAAAAATCGAATACATGTTATATATGAAAGTTTTTAAAAATATAATCAATTTTTATAAAAGTTTTGGGATGGATATATTAGGCCTTCTAATTCTAATTATAATAATTTAAACCCCTGTATTATTTAAAAAAAATATACTTGCATATATTATTAATTTTTCCTAGGTTGATTGAAATTTGCCTAGGTTATACAATATAAATATCATATGATCATCACCTGATTTCAATTAAATATTATTGTAAAAAAATTAGTAACATGATCACTAGTAAAAATGATCGACATTCACCCTACCCTTAACAATGGTTACGAAATGATGTAATATATATTTACTCGTTTATTAATATTTATTATTTACACAGTTTTACAAATGTATTTTACCTACTTTCATCTTTTAAAGATAATTATCAAAAACACACAATTCAGAGAAATTATAAGTAGATATTAAAATACATGATATGAAAAGTAAGTATTAATAATGTTAATGTATTGTAACTAGTAACTGTTTTTATTGAATCAACTCTTTCCAACAATCACTCATACCAAAATTTCAACTAATAAAAAACAAAATTTTTGTTGGAAAGATGTGGCTCTATGGTGCAGTTTGTCTAGAGGTCAACTGCTTTTTTAAGGGACTCCTCTAAAAGGATGTTTGGTATGCAAGCCAGGAGCATTATTATACAAAATAACTGGCAGAGACTTGCCACCCTAGTGCCTTTGTATAAAAAATCTTGGTGAAGAGAGTAAGTTATATAGTAGGCTGCTACTTCATTGATGAAGCACTAGGCCATTACTTCAAAGAAGAACACAGGGAAAACAACAAAAGTTTTGGTTTTTAACACACTCTTTAGAAGTTTTAAAAGTACCTGCAACCAAAAAACTTCTACTATATTTTTACTATTTTGGAATTTTTTTTTGAAATTTTGGCCAAAAAGTGGAAAAACTAGCATACCTCCTCCAAAAGATTGGCAGTGTTTACTCTTTTCAAATTAGGATGCATCTACCAAAATAGAACCCCCCATAAGCTTATTTGGATTATGCTTTGCCAAATAAACAATAATAGCGGTACTGTTTACAGTATAGGGGATTGAAGGAATCACGTGTAAAAATTTCTTAATATTAGACATTTTCTTTTATTTTCTTTTTCACTTCTATTATTATATATAGTGTTAGGTTAGATTTTATTCTATACAACATTATATAATTTATGTAGTCTTGCATAGGCAAAAATAGTGCTATCTTGGCCATTCTTTTTTTCGGCCTTTTTCTCCTTTTTTTTTTTTTTTCTTTTGTTTGTTTTTTTTTGTTTTCGGTTAGTTTAGATTTTCCTCTTTTTTAGTATTTCTTTTATTTCATAAATTTCCTGTTGTTCTTTGGTAGAATTCTTCTATCTAGAAGGCTAAAAAAAGAAGGTTGAAAAAGAAGACAGTCATAATGGGCTGATGAACCAGATCAGTGAACCAGGGCAGGTTGGCTTGATGTAGGTTGAACCAAATGGAGAGATTAAAATCATCTTTGACAAGTCACACACAGATGCATGAATATTTAGGTATTCTATATAGGTAACTAGGTGAGTTATATACCCGTATCTTTGGATGTATTCTTTTTTCTTCGGATTAAATTAATGATCAATAAAGCATGGGCATGTAGCATAATCACTAAAAAAAAAAAAATCTAGTAATATTTTTTGGCAAACTTGAGGTTTACTGGTTCTACAGGAAGGATTAGTTATGAACTTTCTTCAAACTGTTTAAAAAGGTATTAATATTACATGTTTTTGATTGCTAATCTAGCACTTCTGGCTATATTACATACTTTGCAAAAAGAAAGATACATCAGAACTGTCATAAACTCTGTGAGTTTTAATTGTGAATAGGGTTTACATGGGCATGTTGATTTGTTAGGCACATTACAATCCATTTGACAAGTCAAAAAGTTGCCATGGGTCCATACCATTTTTTTGATATTATTTCTATAAATCATTGAATATGTTACAAAGGCTGGCATTGTTGGATGTGTTAAACGAATCATAAACAGTCCAAAGGTGCTTAGCAATATTCTTAGATATTTTTCTACAAATTGTGAAATTTATCAGAATATTTAGCATTGGAAGCATGGAGTATAGTTGTATAGAGTAATGGGAGAACTTTATATACCTGTTGTATTCACTGAATTAATTTATCTTATTTAGTACTTCTATACTAATTCTCCCTTTTTTTTTATTTTCTATATATAGTATTTTAAAACTCGATTAGCGATTACGGATTTCCAGCATCATATTTGTAATAAGATTCTGGTCAAATAAAAATCAATTGCTGTTAAAAGACGGGTGACGAATGACGAACGACAAAACTCATGACGAATGATACGAATGCTAGAATGACGGAACAATTTTATATGTAATGTATGGCATTTGGCGTAATAAATGTAAGAAAAAAAGATTTTCACTAGGAATTATGTGAAGTTAATTTTTTGTTCGTTACATGTCAACTCAGTTTCCATTTTTTTTGGCTCGATGGTTTGCTTACCTATCCGATATTTGTTGAATAAATTAATGTAAGAGCTTGTTAACTTTTATGGTGTTAACTTTTTATAACGGACTGATATTTTAATAAAAAAAAGTCTGTTACTGATTAAAAATACTATATTTTCATTTGAACGGGTGAAGTTTATAGGTTTATAGATCCAAAGGCGTCATTAAATAGCTCGTTTCAACTATTTTTATATTTTATTAGTCAAATCAATTTCGTCAAGAGTTTCGTCAATCGTCAGTAGTTTCGTCAATCGTCAGCAGTTTCGTCAATTGTCAATGACGAAACCATTTCGTCATCACAAAAAAATAGTTTCTCACCCGTCTTTAATAGCCATGACATTATAGAAACGTGATATAGCAATTACTATTTACTGCTTTAATTATGACATCAGCTATAATATGATACGTAGTATCTGATGGTAAAAAGGTCGTACAATACTGTACGTAATATATATCAGGTATGGTAAGGATCGCTAACTTATATCTTCATAATTATCGCAAAGTCCATATTAAAACTCTGTAGCCATCTAATGTAAAAATAGCCATGATACTCAAATAGGATTCTATATAAAATTCAATATTGTTATTTTTGATTATAGATATTATTATTAGTAAGGTACAGTTCATATGACGACTAGTTATTAAGGGCGAGGTTCTAGTAAATAGAACTTATGAAATGGAGATGGATTTGAAGTAATTTGACATAATATTAAGTTTTTCTCGAATTTTGTTTATGGAGATATAGAGACTAATAATATCAAATTTAATCTCGACATCAAGAGAAAAAAAATCTGTATATTTGGCGGCTTCAACATTAATGAAAAAAATTGTAAAAGCTGATACAACATAGTTTCACGCGTGTAAATAATCATTAGATGCATATCCGTATATAACAAAATAGATCGTTCAAAAAATTATAAATCTTCAATTATAAATCTCTCTAATCATAAACCTAACTATTATAAATCTCTAAAAAAAAATAATTGGGCTACTAAAATAACTAACATAGCTGATTAGGGTGCGACATCAATTAAGTAATCAAATTAAGTTAACTATATTGATTAATTTACTACTGTACGTATGACCAAATTTTTATTAGCGAAATCAAGAAGTGAAAATTGAATATTACTTTATATTGTTTAATTTCTAAAAGACTCAGAACTAATTTTTCGAATTCCTTTGAATGAAGAATATTCATTAGAATTATCTTAAAGGTTCTATGTTTGATTCTTTGCACTAAGTAAAATTCAACTTATGTCTTCGAGAAAAATTTTTTTTACTCTAAATTAAATGCATATATTGGTAAAAAAAGGTTCAACATAGCTTTATTCTTCAGCATTTTATAACAGTTTGTGAAAATTTCAAGGTAATTTGATTCCTTGATAATATGTTGAATCGTATTGTATTACATTGATATATAAAAAATTGACTGTTCGTGATAATTTTGATTAGTTAGTTGACATCGCATCCTAATAGCTAATACAATTCACAAGCACTTTTGCTATGTATTCGTGTATTATTTTTCTTGCACTTAATATTAAAATTTGTGGTTTATTGCCTTAAAATCAAAGCAGAGGATATGAAGATAATATAGAAAATTGAAAGAAAAAAATGAAAATTTAAATATTCAAAAATCTATTAGATCACCAAATCTAGAATAAGAATGAAAACGAAAAATACACAAGAACGTAATGGTAACAATTATAGCAGCAGCAAAGGATGATACTGCAAGAATTTGTGTTAAACCATTACCACTAATAAATTCAAATATCGAAAATAAATGGAAGGATATAATAAAAAAATATAGAAAAATCATGCAAATCTTGTAAGTTTTATAAAATCGATCATAATACATATCTTGTGTCAATTTCCTAACTAATAATGTAATAAAAAACAAAGAAGCAGTAGCTGAAGCTGAAGCTGTAATAATTCTTACTGGATCATTAACTTTAACAAATATAAATATTAAAGTTGCTAGGTAAGACAATATAATAAACATACCCCAAAATAAATAACAACACGCATCTGTCCCAATAAATTCAATGATAAATCCAAATACTTTCGTCAATATTAACATGGGAAATTCAAATACTGTTTTAACCATTGACACGGTAAATCCAAATATTTTCTTAAACATTGACACTATAAATCCAAATATTTTCTTAAAAATTAACACAATAAATGCAAATATTCTCACAATAAATCTTATTATAGATTTAAATATTCTATTAAATAATATTCTTAATGAGAAGGTTTTATAAATGATTTGAAATACTTCATATTCTTCTATTTCAAAAGTGTCTTTGTTAATAATTCTTTTCTCATAAGAGTTTCGTTTACATTTACCAACAGCAAATCTTTGAGAATTATTATGTTCTATCCACAAATCCTGGAAACCAAAACATGGTCCTCTGGCCTTACACCAAACAATAGCTTCTTTTTTAGAAGAGACATGACTTAATCTGGGAATTGCTCCATGTGATAATGAAAATAGAGAAAATATAAAACTTTTTGATGTTGTTTTGAACTTATATTTATTATAATCATTAACTGTATCACTATTGGTTTTCATTAAACAATTTCCATACCAATCTAACGGATTATATCCACCAATTATTTCCTTTGAATTTCTGATTTTAATTATGACAACAGTTGGACCCTTATGATCACAACTCTTATGAAACTTATCAATACTAAAACTTTCATGCTTTGCACGATAAATAAGCTTAAATTCGAAAGGAATACTTTTAAAATGATAAGGCATTCCTTGATTATTATCGATCCAACTTGCTATTAATGCTGCATCTTTAGCATCAATAATATCAGAATTAAAAGGATAAGCTGATACTCTTTTTGGTAAAGTATCCCGTTTGTCGGGATCTGATAAATATTGATATGTTTCATCAAGAAGGTTATTTGGTAAAATATTTTTATATTGAGATTCAACTAAACGAAGTTCATTAAATGATAATTCATAAAATCTAATATGAGAAATACAATTATGTAAAACTTTCTCAAGTTCTTCGAAATCCGTTTGCGTCCATTTAGTTAAATCATTATCTAAAATTGATTCAGTATTTTCGATTCCCCATTTGATTAAATAATCCCAAATTTCAATCTCTTGTAGCCTAAGACCATCACATTTTAAAAGTCTAATTAGAATATCTTCTTGCATTTCTAAGAAATCATTTGATTCAAAAATAATTTTTGGATTTTTGCATATAATATCTAATGCAGTTTGATATAAATTAGTGAAATTATCATGTTTACATATTGTAATAAAATCATCGGGAAATTTCCAAGCTGATTCAATTTCAAGCAAGCTTTTTTCAACTTGTTGACTAATTTCAAATAATTGAATTTCATCGGCTGCAATAAAAATATCGAGAAGGCTAACTTCATTCTTATAAGAAAATGAACCTGTATAAATATAGCTATTTCATTTTATAAAAAATAAATAAGTATTTCAGTTTAACGTCATTAAATATATATATATATGACATTCTTGTAGAATCACTTCAAACATCATAAACATCATAAACATCTTATAGATAATTAAATCGACATGTATTTTAAAAATTTAAAAATATAAAACTTACGTTATAAGAATTTCAAAAACTGATGGTGAAATATTAGGTTTATCAAAAATGATAATTCCATTTTCTCTCCTTGCCCATCGTGATGATAATGCGGCTTTAAAGTAAAAAGATCTTGCTGATAAAATAATAGAATGAGCTTTAAATTCTTTAATATCTGGTTCTTCACCAACTCTAATTTTTATGTCAGAATCTTCAGTGTTTTCAAGCAAGTTTGAAAAATCTTTAACTAAATTTTGAATAGGTTCGCTGTTCATATTTGTGAGCGTAAAAGAAAAGAAAGAAAAAAGCTTATCTTTTTATATAATAACCTAAAATGTATTTAAAGCCACTACAGTATATAGTGTTAATATAACTATCTTAAACTATTGTAACAGTGCTATTACCTTTTTTATTTCTTTTAAAATTATTTGTGCCTTTCCGGATTTTTAGAAATGCAGTAGAAACAAGTATAATAATGCATTATGATACGATTTATGCCACAGCTACGATATAAACAAGAAATGTTATTTGTCATACTTCTGTACTTGGATGCAGGAAACCCAAAAAGCTCAACCATCTAAATTTGTCATTCTCAGCAACGGCTTATTTCAATATATACATAGATAGCTGCTACGTATAAAGTACGTACGTACGTACGTAACGTACATATTATTTTTGCATATTACAGCATTTCTATGCAAAGAGAGAGAATTCTAGATTTTCACTTTATTAAGATCGATAATTTATTTTGATGTGTTACTAGTTTATGTATTATTTCTAATAGAGAGATTTTAAAATTTTCTGCGCAGTACATATGTACGTTAGAGACACAAACATGTTTGTGGCAGTGCTACCTTAATTACTTTAAAAGAACCCCGTATATCTACATCAGGAAATTTTATAATCGATAGTCACTAGCGCTAGCTTTAATCGATTATAATCGGCAGTGTTGTTTATTTTGGATTTGATTACTTAAAATACTCCGACATCTGGGTATGAAGTTATTGTATCGGAGTAGTTTTAAGAAATAAGGTTTCTTTTTTATGATCTGCGGCTTGCAAATTTATATGAATTTTGCAGATTTACTTCTGCGACGTATATCAACTAATATTATACTACATATATAAAGACTTATATATATAATATAGGAAATTCTATTTTTACCCGAGTTAAAGTCACCTGATGTTTAATTTTTATTATATTATATAATATAAATCCATATAATATCATTAAAATTAGTCTATACTAACAATTAACTAACCAATATATAGAATCTTTAGTTTTTATAGTAGCTTATATTATATAATATAGTGACAATTATATATTGGGTGACTTTAACCCGGGTGAAAATAGAATTTCCCATATAATATATATTTGGTATTTTTTAAAAAAATCTTTTCTAATGGCCAAAAATTATTGCCCCAGAACATGCTTTGGATGCACAGTGTCTTTTTTGTACAACTTCTAAAACTTATTGTAACTGTGAAAGATATATTTCCAGCAAAAAAATTCTACTAAAGTTCCTTATGTTTTACTTTGAAATTTCATGATTATTTCAGTAATAAACAAATGAATTTTCTAGAATCATGTAATAATTCTTATAAGATTTAATTTGGTGCAACTTTTAAATTTTTTTTCTTACTCATCCAATAGCAAATTTTATCAGACTAAAAAGAAACAAATTTTAATAATATACATTCAAATTTTTTACAACATGATACATTATGAATGTACAAATTATATTCCTACAAAAGATGCTAAATCAATATTACAAATAATGGAAATCGGAAATCATACAAATTTCATATAATTTCATAAATAATCGATAATACACGATGACGGTGATTATAATCGATTATAATCCGTTTAAAAAATTTCTAAAATTGCTTATATCTGTCATGTACGTACAGTACTGGATCTAAGTAATCAAAACTATGTCAGCAAACTATAGAATTTGATATATTGCAATTTTTATATTACACGAATATTAATTTTCGATAATAGATTACAACTGATATTTTATTACGTTATTATTAAGCCAGTCTTCTAAATGTTTCAACTCATTATTGAGACATGGAATCATTTTGAAACTTTCACAAGTTGATTATAAAATATCTAAAAATAAAGCTATGTTTAAAGATTCTCTATTGACATGTAAGTTTTGGGCATTCGCCTTTCAGAATTCCTAAATTTCATCAATTAAGTCAAAATTTAATAGAATTTTGCAAAAGAAACCAACATAGTTACTTTAAGATAGTTCTGTCGTAGCGTTTTCAATCGAGAGAAATTAGATAAGTAAGTACAGTATTTGTGTGAAAACTTTGGAATTTTATGATTTTTCTTTATAATTAAAAGGCTTAAAAGCGTTTGATCGATCATTTTTTAATTTTGCTGATAAAAATCTGATCATAGTAAAATGATCAACATAGCTGACATAGTTTTGATTACGTATATACCCTAGTATATTGTAGTACCCTAGTATAGTACGTACATAACTAGAGGATGATAATCGGAACATTCTTTTTTGATTATACGTATCCTGCAAATAACTTTTGAAAGCCCACATTCTTTTGTTCAAAGGTTCTATATCTAAATCAGTCACGATTTAATAATTACACTCAGAGTATTGTCCTACGTATGTGCAACTAACGATTGATTTCACAAAAAAAAAACTAGCTAATACCTTCTTTTTTTTTTCTTGGGTAACATGAATTTAAAATTATTCGAAGTGTAGCAGTGGACCTAATAGGAGAGTAATAACTAGATTTCGTCAGCTTCTATTTAAAATTATATAGTAGAGTTCTTTTTATCAGATATATAAAAATATACGAATAATACAAACTTTACTAAGTATATATGAAGTTAAGCTAAAATTCAGTCAACCAAGAATTTTTAGTTTTCAGATTACATATTAATCAATAAATGTAAGGCCTCAAAAAAATGCTCATGCCTCTGATCTATATTAATAACATGTCCAACCCAAATAGAAATTTGTGTATATACAGTAATTACGTACTCTAACCAGAAGATATTGGTTAGCATAGTCAAAAATCAGCATTACATATAAGTAATCAAATTTTTTATATAAATAGTTATCAAGTGCATAACAACAAGATGTATAATTGATACAAAAGAAAAATAAGAATAATATAACTTTCAAGTTTTATGAAATAAATAAATTTTTTTAAAAAATCTTTTTCTTCAATAATAAATATAAAATCATAAAGATACAATTTTATAGATCATGAGTATTTCAATCGAATATTGGAAACTTATGTTATGATGAATGCTTGAGCATATTAAAGAGTCCAAACCTTTTCACATAACTCAAAGTTTAAATATAGGGTTATTCATATACTCTAAACGGTAAGGCCAAAGAGTTTCATTTAATTAAGAAAACCAGTAATAATTTAGGCCAAGCATCCGAACCATCCGAACAAAGATCATGTCAACGACAAATCCATTTCTAATTTGGAAATAATATTAATATAACGACAAGCAATTTTAATTCCGCAAATTTGGTGAATTCGAAAATTAACCACAAATTTGCAAAATTTCTGCAATCAATTGAGAATTCTGAACAGCCTATTTCGGCATTTTTAAGGGAAAATAACGCCCATGTGTGTTATTTCGCGACTATATGTAAATTTATTTATAGAGTAACTAACTCTTTTTCAATCGTAGATTGTATAAATAAATCTCATTAGTAAACTATTAATGAGGATTCAAATGTGTAACTAGATATATACTTTACAGAAACCTATGTTTTTTGCTAAATATGTTTGCAATATATTTATTATATATTAACAATATTATTATTATATGATTTAAAATAGTATATAATAAATATACTTTGAATACA